GTAGTGAGTTTGAACTGATACATTGTTGTTGTTTCATAGGTTAGAGGAACTATCATGGCTCCGAGTGTGGCTGCATGGCCTAGCCATAACGAAGAAAACTGGATCCAATTCTTGGACATAGCTGGTCTCAATATCAATGGGGCAGGTCAATTCGATGGCCAAAGTTCTTCTTGGTGGAAAGATTGTCATTCAAACTGCACACCTCCAACGGTAAGTTTTTAACGATCTAATTCTAGGGTTTGATCATTAAACTGATAACGTATATTAATTATATTATATGGTTTTACAGGCATTATTTTTCCAAAATTGCACCCGACTCCGACTACGAGAAACTAAGCACATCAATAGTGTAAAAAATCATATCTCCATAAACACTTGCAATGATGTCATTATCTCAGACGTTCACATCATTGCTCCCGAGAACATCCCTAACACATACGGATTCAACGTTTCTAGATCAAACAATGTTCTTATTCAAAGCTCCTTGATCGAAACGGGTATCAAATTTGTATTACTTTTGAATTTTAATTCGTTTTCAAACTAACTTAGAGTTTCATAATGACTTTCTAATTTTATCGTAGGTGATGAATGTATTTCTCTATACAACGGTTCTTCTAATATCAATATCGTCGGTGTTACTTGTGGACCTGGTTACGGTATAAGGTACGAAAATGACATTTTCATTAATTATAATTTCATTGTTTTTGTATTACTTTATAATTATCATCTTAATTTCTATAGCATTAGAAGCTTAGGAGAAGATGGAGGATATAACGTAATTGAAAACATCAATGTAAGCAATTGCACCTTAAAGGGCACTCAAAATGGATTGAGAATCAAGACTTCACAGGTTAATATAATGAGTTTTTAATTTGTTCATATGCAATTTTTTTAATATATATTACCAAAAAAATGACGGGTTTTCTTAACGTAATTACAGGGTGGACATGGGTATGTAAGAAACGTCGTATACGAAAAAATAACACTAATTGATACCCAATTACCGATCGTTATTGATCAACAGTATTCAACTTTTGCCAACACGAGAAAAATTAAGGTATATATCAAATGAAATTTTATTTTTTTACTTACGATGTTAAATAGAATCTATAACTTGTATGTTGGTTTGTTTTCAGGAAATGGGTATAAAAGTGATGGACGTGACGTATCGTGAAATTCTAGGAACGTCAACAAATGAAACGACAGTCGTTTTGAATTGTTCTCAGACTCGTTGTAGTAATATTGTCATGGAAGACGTAAGCATAAGGACGTTAGCTCCAAAAAAACAAGCCAAAGCGTTTTGCCAAAATGTTGATGGAAGAGAAGTATCTACCGTCCCAACCGTGACTTGCTTGTCAAAATCTAATTAAAATTTTTATATGTAATTCGACAAATTTTGAGTTGTAGTATTGGAGGAAAGGATTTAATGTCGGATCTCTCAAATTAAGTCTAACAAAGTTATGAATCTTAAATTCTAAGTTTATCTTTAATAATTTAAGACGATGATAACAACAATTGGGTACAATAATTAAATGAAAATGACATGTTCCTAACAAATAAAGAAAATATGTTGGAAAATTAAATTTATAAAATTCTTGTAACAGCTACACTCGAGCCTACCGCTAGCACATATTGTTCTATTTCAACTTTCTCTTTCAAAGTTTATAACATGCGTATGCTACGAAGATGTTTCCACACAGTATAAAAGGATGTTTCGTTTCCCTCTCTACCTAATGTGGGATCTCACAATCCACCCTTTCTGGGACTAGCGTCCTCTCTATGTGGGCTTGAACTATCTAAGTGGGCTTGAATTGTTACCATTTTTGTTATTCATTTTTTACGAGCGGTGGGCTTGAGTTAAGAAACACAAATAAACACAATCCTCCTTCCATTTATGCACCAACACAAGCTTTGTTACATAAACAGATTATAATCATGAGTCTCACGAGAGACAAATGATATAGACAGGACAGAGATTTATTTTAGCAAAAAACAAGAAACTAATAGAAAAGACAAGAAACATAGTAATTTCAGCCAACAAAATCTCCACAGTGGCCGGCGGTGTAACAAGCACAGTTGAACGGACAGTCATCCTGAGTTTCACAACTCAGATAAGTTGGACATTCACTACTTCCTTCACTTTTCAGTAAAATCTTACTTGGGAAGCCGCCGCCCTCCGCCACGGCGGAGTCGGCCAGAGTAGCCATCATAATCATCGTCACCATCATCACCACCACCAAACCCGTGTTCTTCATCTTCATCTCCATTTTTTATGACCTCTTTCTTTAATTCTATGTTAGTTCTTTAGGTATTTATACACATAATTTTTGGTCTCTAAATTTTAAAATATTTAACTAAATTTATTATTCGATAATTTTCTCATCTTTATCTTTTTCAACTACTTTGTTTGGTTTTATGTGGGGTAGGGTTTGAATTATTCTAAGGCAAAGAGTCGTATAAAAAAAAAATCCATGATAATCTCAGGCTCACGTTCATATCAAGCTGAAAACATATGCAAAGAGCTTAGGTTAGCATTCGAGTAAGCTAATCCACTTAAGAAAGCAAATCAAGCCTCCTCAAGCTTTGTTTCCCAAATAAAGAAAAGACTGATAAAAAGACCATCGAATTTTCGGAAAGTAGCTAGTTCCATTCTACATGTCAATACCGACAAAAATAAAATTTATAATAAGGGAAAATCCATCGAGTTTAAAAATCATGAGGGTTCATGTCCCTCTATCCCCAAAACCCTAAAAAGGCTCGTTGACCTCTTTAATTATTTATCATTTCATTAACAATTCACAATTCGTTATGTTTCTTTTTCATTCGACTCTTTCACAAACGTATTTGAACGGAAATTTAATTTCTTATCACAAAACTTATGATGTATATTATATATGATACACGTATAAATTTAAATAAGTAACAATACTACTTGAATGTAACTATTATTTATATATATTAGATATAGATAGATAGAAGGAACATGGTCGAAGGTGGATTACAAATTTTCGATACTTCCGAGATTTTTTGTCTTATCAAAATTAAATCCTTATCTTAAAAGAGATAATATTACATGTGGCTTGTGCATTAAAATTTGTTTTGTCAGATCAACGTTATAAAAAAAAACAGATTTACAATCCAACCCAACTCAACCTACCTTATCCCACTTAAAAAAAAATAAAAAATATTCAATTTTTGTAACGGAGGCTAGTGATGCATTATGATTTGTAATATTTTAATATTTAAACTTTATGATAAACAATTTTTTTTTTAATAATATGACGTGATAAGCCAACTAAAATACGGTGGGTTAAGTTTGTGAACGCTTTTTTTTTTTTTAATCACTATTATTATTTTCATTATGGTTGTTTTTATTTTGAAGTTTTTCATGTCAACGTCATCCTTAAATAATTTAAGGTTGATTAACAAAGGTTTGAAATCAAATTATTTCATAAATCTAAATTATAAATTGTCTTATTGTCAAAATTTTTGGACCACAAATATAAATTTATTAAAATTCAATTAAGATAATTGGATAGAAAAATATTCCACATTCAAACGTGTTCTTACTCCAAGAAGATAAGATTAAAAAATGGAGATAAAGTCGATGGCTGAAGCCCTAAAAAAACAAACACAATTTCTGATTTGGTGAAAAAACGTCTCTCTAGCCGACGTGTTTTAAAATTAAAAATATTTTTTTTTTTTATGAATTTTTCCGTGATTTATATTTGTTTGCCTTTCCCTTTTTTATTTTTTATTTTTTATATACACTCGACTAATATAATTTAAAATATACATTTATATATAAAATATAGAATATATCACGTGTATTTTAATCAATATTATATATATTTATTTATTAGATCGACATGATGAGATCAACTTGCAAATATTTTAAAAGAAAAAAAAAATACAAATAAGATCAATTTGATTTCGATTCTTGAGCTTTTAGATTTTTTTTTTATTTATTTAAAAATTTTATTATAGGATTCATTTTGTTTCTTTCCATTATTATATCTTCAATTATTTAATATATGAATGAGGTGTTTTATTTATTTATTTTTATAAAATAACACCTTGCTAAACTAATCATTTTAATTCTTTCTATTATCCTATTTTAAATTTTTTTAATCTTTTTATTTGATTTAACAAAACATTAAATTATATATATATATATATATATATATATATATATATATATATATATATATATATAATTTTAATTCCTTTATCTTAATATTTTAATTGAAGAAGCGCGTTTTTTTTTTAAATCTAAATTATTTGTGTGGCTGAGATTATATCATTAGAAACTTTCTTGAGATTCGATGAATTCATTGAATAATACGTGACCTTTTGGAAGAGCGTTTGAAAATTAAATAGCTATAATAATATTTTCTTTAAAATATAAATTTAGTCATTGTCATTTTTTAAGTCTATAACCTTTTTTCTTAATTAAAAATTCATTTAGATGATGTATAGCCTTATCATCAACACCTAATTTTGAGATTAATATTTATAAATTTGATTAATAAAATAAACTTTCATTTAATTACTAATTTTTTTATCTAACGATCAGTGTATTACTGTCACCCTCACGATTTTAAAATATGTCTCATAGAGAGAAGTTTTCAAACCCTTGAATGTTTCCCTTCCTCTCTTTAACCGATCTCACACCGCTAGTAGATATTGTTCGTTTTGACTCGTTACATATCATCATCAGTCTCATCGCTTTAAAAACACGTCTGTTAAGGAGAAGTTTTCACACTCCTCCCCAACTTATGTGGAATCTCATAATCTACCCCTTTCGGGACCCAGCGTCTTCGTTGGCACTCATTCCTCTCTGCAATCGATGTGGGATCTCACAATCCATCCACCTTTAGACCAGCGTTCTCACTGGCACTCGTCCCTCTCTACAATCGACGTGGGATCTCATATATCAATTCTTCAACATTGCTCGTATGAACGTAAGAGATATTAAATTGTAGAGTTTAACGGATGAATTACGATAATAAAACGAGATAGGTTCATAGTGACATGGAAAAGATTACATAGGGTTGTCATGCACAAATTGATCACATACACTCATAAACAAGAGAGTGATCAATGTGACAAGGGACTTTTATTGTTCACATAAATAGAAAAGACACACACACATGGACATGGAAGATGATCCGACACGGCGGTGGTTCAACCACAGAAGCCGTTGGGCCGGCATATGCAACCAGGAAGGCAGTCGGAATCCAATTCGCACTCCATAAGGATTCTAGGGCAACCTTGGACACCGTTCATCATCTTCCTTGGGAAATCATTCACTCCGTCGGAAACTAGCTGAATCACTTCACCGCCATGGACGGCGGCGGACTCTGCAAAAGCCGCCATCAGCAACAGCCCCACCATGGCAATTAAAGCACCTCTTTTCCACTCCATTTTCTCCCTCTTTGTTGCCCATTATCCCTTAATTCTTTCTATTTATAGAGATCAACGGCTACATTTATTTAATATTTAACTAATTAAATTGGCGATGAACAAGCAAATGGAAAGATATAACTTCAAAATCTCCTTAATATCTCGTCAATTTATCGCCATTAACTTCAGAAAAATATAGAGAAGGAACAAGGATAACATGTGGTGGGTGAATTTTGTACCACTAAATTATTCATTTTCTTAATGCCTAAATTTTTAAACTGAGCATACACGTTTTAAAATTTTGAGGGAAGCCCGAAGATGACCATATATGCTAGCAGTGGATTTGAGCTGTTACAAATGGTATCAGAGCCCGTTAGCGTCCTTACAAGGGTGTGAAAATTTCTCTTCATAAGACGAATTTTAAAATCTTGAGGGATAGTCCGAGAGGAAAAGTCCAAAGAGGACATCGAAAGAGAAAACTCAAATAGGACAATAGATCGGCTTGGGTCGTTACATATCTAATTTTGAAGTGAATATTTACAATTTTGATTAACAAAATAAACTTTAGACACCTTTGTACTCCTAACATTTTCTTGCCACATGATCACATTGCTTACTTCAAAACTATTCATACAAACTCAGATGAGTTCTTCCAGTATGTTTTTATTAAAAAATCACTCAATATAGAATTACTCCAAACAAAACACCTTTAACATGAAATTCGAGTAATCTGAAAAAAAAAAAGAAGACAAAGAAGAGATAATGACATTATTGTAGATGATCCGACACGGCGGAGCTTCAACTACAGTAGCCGTTGGACCGGCATTTGCAAGCAGGAAGGCAGTCGGAATCCACTTTGCAGGACATAAGGATTGTAGGGCACCCTTGGACAACGTTCATCATCTTTCTTGGGGAATGAAAACCATTCCCTCCAACGGAAACTAATTGACTCACTTCATCGACGGCGGCGTCGACGGCGGCGGACTCTGCAAAAGCAGCCACCAGCAAGATCCCCACCATTGCAACCAAAGCACCTCTTTTCCACCCCATTTTTTCTCTCTCTTTCTAGCCCAAATTCCCTCAAATCTCTCTATTTTTAGAGAATCTCCTTAATATCTCATCAATTTATCGCCATGAGTACCATTTGTTTTTTTTTTTAATAAGCACATCTTTTTATAAAATTGTATTTTAATCGATTAAAATATAGAGAAGCCACCAACACCAATAAATACCCCGGTCGGTAATATCATGTGGTAGGTGAAGTATTGTACGGGTTACGTCAGAATTTATTTAGCAAAAATTTAGAGAGAGAAAAGAAAGATGGCCCATGCAGGTTTCGAACCTGCGACCTTCGCGTTATTAGCACGACGCTCTAACCAACTGAGCTAATAGGCCAACTGTTATTTATACTTTAGTTTAAATAAATATAAATAAATAAGAGTGGTAGAAAGACTTAAATTTAAATGTTTATGATTACTTACACATTGCGATCGACCTGTAATTTTTAAATTTTTTTAAAATATATACTTATTTTTTATAAATAAAAATTTCAATTCCCATACCTCAGCATTGCTAAAAAAAAAAAAAAAAAATTCCAAAAATGTATTTATTCAAATGAGCAAGCACTTTCTTTTGAAATCCAAAAAAGTATTTATTCAAATGAGGAAGCACGTTTTTTGAAATCTATACCATTTGTGTGGCTAAGATTACATCATTGGAAAGTAAAAATTTTCATGGAGTTTAATCAGTTCGTTCAATTATACACGTCGGACAATCGTGATGACAATGAAAAGGGGAAATGGTCCAGCGAGGACGATGTGTGGCCTTCTGGAAGGGTTTGAAAATGAAATATCTATAAAAATATTTTCTTTAAATTCTAAATTGTCATTGTCATTGTCATTTTTGAATGCTATAAAAAAATTAAATAAAATATTTATTGTGATATTACATAGCCCTATTTTGTAATACTTCTTTTGTATGACAAATACATGAATAAACCGAGTTCACATCTAAATGCGAGCAATCCTGAGAATACGATAACTAAGAATGAGTTACAAAAATTGAAAGTCACTGCATATATTAATAGTGCACTTATTTTTCAGTGGTTCAATTATAAGAACTTCATAGTTAAGCGTATTTTGCATTGAACAATTCTAATATTGAGTGACCTCTTGAAAATTTTTATAAGATCATGTGAGTGAAGACAACATGTTGGAATGACTTGTGTTGGTATGTGAGAATAATTGAGTGACCTCTTGAAAATCTTGAAATTTTTCCTAAAATGAATGTGAAATAACTAAGTGAAGACAAAAAATGTTGGAATGACGTGTGTTGGTCGGTGAGAATGGTTGAATGACCTCTTAAAAACCTCTTGAAAATTTTCTTAAGATGAATGTGAAAGAACTTACGTTAATTTATGAGGATAGTTTTCACTCTTCACTTTTAAAAGCGAGAAGTAAGTAACCTGATCATGTTATAGTAGATGTGTAGGAATGTCCGGACGACGAGACGTCAAATCCTGGGCAAGGGTCGTTACAAAAATTATCATCTAATAAGTCAGAGTCATAATCACGAGCCCCCAAAACGTAAGCTAGGTTGACGAGTTACCGTAAATTTAATCTAATCTTTCACTGTTCTTGCTCTAAATGCTAGATTTCTACTTTGATATCATGTCTTATCTACTTAAAACTGAAAATTCATAGACGACGAAGATCGTTCATAGTAACATAGAAAATAATACAACAAAATTTATCACATACATAAAAAATAATATTCTTCAGTTTGAGTATAAGTTCTCATGTTTTTAATTTTGGTTTTCTAAAAAAATCCCGTACCAATAGATATAGTGTTCCTTACTTATAAATTACAAAAACAATGGTATCTTTTAGTTATATTATGAGATTCAAAATAACAATAACAACAACAATAATACATGCGCAATAGCTTTGATCAAAGTTACAAGGAGTAGACTAAACATCGTGTCCTTTGTGTAACTGTAATCATGGCGTGTAACAAGAGAGAAAATAAGGAAGAGAACTTGAAAAAAAGTTGGAATTGGGGCTTAAAAGTAAGTAAGAAACCCACCCCTAGTTGCACTCCGACCAAAGCTTCGACCAACTTGCCCATCATTACCACGTTTGACATGCTGTTATAAGACATGCGCAGGCAAGCCTAAGTAATATACAAGGATGCACTTGAAGGCACAGGGATGAAGAAGATTCCAATAACATCAGCCCAGCAAAATGTTAGCAAAATGTTGGGGAATCTAAATTGCAGCAAAGAATGGGAAAAGCAGGGGAAGGAGATAGAAATACAGAGAAGAGAGAATTATTACTGAGATAAGCTATTTAGTTTTAGTAATGTGGATGATGAAATTCCATAGCTATCAAAATAAAAGATCTCAAAAAATATATGTATTCATTTGTTGACCCAACAAAAAGCATGTTACAACATATCCTACGGCTTTATTTTATCAAGGAAGGAAATGCTCTGGCTGAGATGCCTACTTTAAACAGGCTCTTCAAAAAAATCCCTCATTTCACTTCAAGAAGACATTGGCTGCGGTTTATGAACACTTGTATTGCATCCAACATATTTGAATGAAATATAATGTAGATCATGAATTTCATGAAATTCATAGGAAATCCCCACAATAGTTCATTTATATCCGGGAAGGCACAACGATATCTCGAAGAAGACCAAGTCAGGTAATTTTTATGCCCATATTTTGCAGCAGTCTCCCTTCAGCAGCTCATATGAAAAGAAGCAATGAATAATAGCAATTACAGCAAAATTCAGCCATAAAAATACACAATGTTTTGAAGCTTCCAGCCTTGTTATGTATCATAGTGTGGGTGGGTGGGGG